GATAGGGTGATATTGTGTGCATGGAATTTGGGGGTTAGCATTTTAATTCATGCATTGTATTTGACTACAGTACTGGCTTTAAAACCAAAAATTCATTATTTCCGCATGAAAAGCAAGCCACATGGTCAAATTTATTCTATTTAACGCCCAATTCAATCACGGACGTTGTCCACCAGGGAATCCTAGTTTCCAATCCCGGTTACGTAGTCTATAATATCTATGATTAGAGTAAATGAAAGGGATTGGAAGCGGGTGCGTGGGCGTAGCCCAACCTCCATTCATTTGTATTGCATATTGTTACTAAGCAAACCGAGGCTTGTTGTAATTTTGTCACCATTTTCATGCTACTTTTCCTTCTTTTAGGAGCAATATCTGGCGAAAGACTGTTCTCATGTTAGTGAAACTGATGCATCAAAAAGCCTGATGTTTCCTCTCAACAATACTGTTATCTATTGTGCAAAAAATGTTATAGTTTTCACGATACAGCCCATTTTTCCTCTTAAAATGCCATTTATTCCATTATTCTCCCTTTTCTCAAAACATGCTAAAGTAAAACTGGAAACCATTATAATCATATGAAAGGCCTTACACTTTCCAAAGTAATTATACAGGTTAGCGGAGTCAGAATCTATGAAGTATGAGTTTGTTACAAGACTGAGCTAAAGTGTACCGAAAATAGTTCAGTGATTTTGTTGTACCTATAACTGATTGCAACATAGCTTTACAGAGACAAAAAACTTGCTGTGGGTAGCTCTAAAAATTATATGTGCAATAGGCTATAAATCACAAGCAAGCGTTGTCCTGGAGCAACACAAGTCAGTTTCCTTCAAAATCCTTCCAGAGCAACTTCACCAACGGAGGAGATGGCAAAACACTGATGGTAAAACACTGATGGTTGTCACGTGGTAACCCAACTAGCATTTCCTGTTGCTACGCCCCGTTTCCAATCCCTTTCATTTACTCTAATATGTATGGTTCAACTGTAAAAATTGTGATTCCTGAAACTGGTTGGCAGTAGAGTAACGTAGGTAGTTTACGGACAGCGGTAGTATACGGACACTTAAGTTCAGAGTACCATAAAAATTTTAAACATTTGAGTAAGAACCCAATTTTTTTCTGAGGGATAGAGGTCGGCTGCCATACTGCCTTTTGCAGAAAACTTGCCACCACCAGTTATAGTCATGTGACGATTGAAGTCACATGACTTTTTCCCATACTAATATGTAATAATACATGTCACGTGAGCAGGAAGTAAGAAAATTGGGTCAAGCAACCAGAAAATCACGGTACAGCCCTTTGCACAAAACTTGCCACCACCAGTTCTAGTCACGTGATGATTAGCCATAGGCTTAACTTATTATTTTTATGAAGTCACGTGATCAGACTGGTGCAAGTTTTGTGCAAAGGGCTGTACTGCCAGACCGGATATTGCGAGGCGTGTTTCACCTGAAATATGTCATATGACGTTTTTCATTCACAATAAAACAATGATAAAAAGTATTATTATTATTACTAATAAAATTGAGATTTTATGTACAATAATTATTACAATAAAACTTGACATTTATCATGCATCATAATTGCTGAAATTTTCTTTCTCCTTTAGTATATGCAGTCAACCAATGCATAATAATAATTTCAGTCATGCATGAAGTCAGTGCGATCTCGTAATTCACTTTTAATATCCTACAATATGCATCATTCTCTCTTATTGTACCAGATCCAATAATCGTAAAGTATGTAAATTGTAATTACTCAAAGCATGATTTGTCTTACCATTTTTATTTTAACCAACTACCACGATTATTGAATAAGCTATAAAAATACACTTTGATTGCTTTTTGCTCTCCACTAAGATGATTGGATGATCTAATGTGGCAGACCATTCTATCCAAGTTTGATTCGACTAATCTTCACACTTTTCACTTTTTATGTCCATGCAGAAGGTGTACTGAACCATTCTGTACATATAGTCTTTAAACTTTTTGTTTGTTTTATTTTGTACTCTGTGTTTTATTACAGTTTCTCCTACACTGTCTATTATCCTGCATATCCTGTCTATATGCATTGTGAAGTTCATTAATGATACTAATAATAATGAATCACAACATTCATGTGTACATGTAACATGTGTAATCCACTGCACTTTCATTTCCCTTTTCTA